TGCGCCAACTTGATATAACTTCATTGGAGCACGTCCCTTATGCTTGGGTCCCCTTTTAGCACATCATGTACTGCATGTCTTGCATCATATCTATCTAGTAAAATCTCTGTCGTAGGTGACTCAATGTCTTCCTAACTCTGAGATGTCCTCCTGTTAAACTATCATGGGATTGACGCAGCACAACTTCCTGGAACTTTCTCGGTATAACTGTTTTCCACGTTGTAACTTTCCCATCTGCAGTTTCCTATCTCCAGACAAGAATATCATCTTCAAGTTTCAACAGGTCCCAATGTGCCCAATAGTTCTTTGTCGCAGGGATTAAGCTAGACACCTTCTCCCAAGCAGGGTACAAAACACTTGCTTTTATAAAATCAATGATTGTCTTCAAATCTTGGACTTTCTTCTGCTCTGCTTTAATATCCATACCTGGTTCCACTTCACCATCATCAACTCCTTCAGTCACTTTGACTACAGCTTGATGACACCTGGTTAGCTCAACCTCTCTTATGTCTCCAGTCATATTTGCAGGGTTTTTGACTCAGTCCGTTGGCATTTCCATGTATTCAATATCATAATTATACTGGTCTATCTTTCCGATCCAATGTGCCAGTTGTCCCTCTGGGTTCTTTAATGATCTTAACCAGTGTTATGCAGCATGGTCTGTCCTGATGGTAAACCTAGCCCCATAGAGGTAAGGATGGAAATATGTCAGTCTCTTTAATATAGCAAGGAATTTCCTCCGTGTTACACAGTAGTTCCTCTCTGGTCTACTCAAAACCCTACTAAAGTAGGCCACCACATGTTCATTTTCACCCACTTTCTGAGACAACACTCATCCAATTCCAACATTACTAGCATCACAATCCAGTATGCACGGCAGTGAGGGATTTGGAAGCTTTAAATTTGGAGCTGAAGCCAATTTTTATTTCAATGCCTTAAAAGCATACTGCCAAGAATCTGTCCATTTGAACTTCTGGCCTTTTTTTGTTAAATCATGTAGTGGAGCAGCTCTAGTTGCAAAGTCCTTCACAAACTTCCCGGTAATAGATACAGAGTCCCAAGAAACTTTTTAACTCTCCCATATTGTCTGGTGTTGGCCAATCATGCACTGCTTTCAACTTGTCAGGATCAGTTCGCACACCATGCTCATTTACAATGTGACCCAAGTAATGCACCTCTTTCTGGAACAAGTAGCACTTC